TTTTAATTATCTTCAGCAAAATTTTACTCGCACGTGATAATATTATAGGAGTTCTGATGTGGCGCTGCGGGTTACTGGACTGCAAATTCAGTTTGATCTGCAAGGTTGGTGGTTCAAGCTCATTAGTCACTCCTTGGAAACTCTATACAGGATGGCTATGGGTCAGAACCAACTTGACGGCACTTAACAACAACAACAGCTTTCATGTGCATGAGTAGGGAACTGTGCTGAGGCTATATATCTTTATGGAAGCAGAAAGTCTCATCTTTCTCCTACCAAGCTTCTTGGTGGATTTGAACCACCAATCTTCAACTAGCAGTCCGGTGCTTATCCTACAGCTCCACCAGGGCTCAGGTGATAGGGATAGTGATGAGTAAAATAAGCTTGGTACCTGTTCTCATCTCTTGCATTACACTGTATCTTATTAATTTTAAAACAACACACACAAAAACATGAGTAGACATGTAATTACCAACTGTGAAATATTATGTTACGGACAATACTGGGTGCTGTAAGAATTTATAAAACCAGTACTGAACTAGTTCAGGGAGAGCTTTCCTGAGAAATAATACCTAGCATTTATTGAATGCTTATCACATTTGTTGTTGTTGTGTGCTGTGGAGTTGGTTCCAACTCATAGCTACCCTGTATAGGGTTTTTCTGAGGCTATATATCTTTGCAGGAGCCTCATATTTCTCCCATGGAGCAGCTGGTGGGCTCGAACTGCATACCTTGTGATTATCCTACAGAACTTATCCTAAAGAGCCACTGCACTCCCCAGAAACATGTTTACTTGTGCTTTATTAAATATGCAAAAGCATTCAACTGTGTGTGTCATAACAAACAATGGATAACATTGTGACGAATCGATAATCCAGAATACTTAATTGTCCTCATGAGGAACCTGTACATAGACCAAGAGGCAGTCTTTTGAACACAATGAGGGAATACTGAATGGTATCCTCTTAGCACATATCAGGTATTAATTTACATTGCTTACATGCATCATTTTATAGTAATCCTATTATTGTCATTTAAATTTTTATAGACTATAAAACAAGTACAGAGAGGTTAAGTGCTTGTCTAAGGTCATACAGAGGGTGAGTCAAAGATTATCCACATTGTAGCTGCAGAATTTATTTAACTCAACTTTTTGAAAAGACAAATACATAATTTCCTGGCTTTTCAATACAGTTTTGTCCATCTATCAACAAGCTTCCATGCTCGTTTATTTAAAAATGTTTAGGCTGAGCTGTGAGCCACGAATTTATTGCTGTCTTCACTTCATCAGAGGTGAATCTTCGTCCTCAAAGGGCTGCTTTCAGAAGACCAAACAGGTGGAAGTCCAATGGAGCAAGATCAGGACTATAGGAAGGATGCTTTAACACCTCAAAACAAAGTTTTTGCAGAACATCAATAGTATGTACAGACATGCATTGTCATTTAAGATCACAATGCCCTTGGACAGCAGTCCTCTGCGTTTCATCTGAAGTTGAGGCTTCAGCTTTTCAGTGAGCAACTCACTGTAACTAGCACTGTTGATTGCTCAATCTTTTTCCTGAATCCCAGAAAACTGTAAGCATCAATTTTCTAGCTGATGGTTGACTTTTGAATTTTGTCTTGTTCAGCGATTGAGGATATTTCCATTCCATACTCTGCCGTTTACTCTCAGGCTTGTAGTAATGAATCCATGTCTTGTCACTAGTAAGATTTTTTAAAGAAACTTTTACTTTCCTTCAAGTATCAATCCAAATTTTGTTTGCAGATGTCCAAACACTTCTGTTTATGCTCTTCCATGAGCTCTTTTGGTACCCATCTCATACACACTTTTCAAAACCCACGTCTGTCGTGAATTATTTCATAGGCAGTTGTTGTTAAGTGTCATCAAATCGGTTCTGACTCAGAGCAACTCTGTATCGGGTTTCTGAGGCTAGTGGGTTTGAACTGTTGACCACTGGTTTGCAGTCCAGTGCTGATTTATGGCTTATTTGCAAATGATTTGTCACATAATCCACTGTCACTCATCTACTCAACAGAATCATTGCACATGTACACTCAATGATGTCATCAGCCATGGACATGGACAGGTGTTTTAATATAACTAGAGTGCAGATAATTTTATACTCACCCTCATACAATACCTAGGAATCAATAGAGCCAGGACTTGAACCTAGATAACCTCCCAGAAAGGGCATATGGGTGATGGAAGGTGAGTTGGAACTTGTCATGGACTGAAACATGTCTCCAAAAATATGTATCATCTTGGCTGGGCCATGATTATCAGTGTTTTGGCAGTTGTGTGATGGATGATCCTCCATGATGTGATCTGATGTGATTAGCTAATAAAAGGATTAAGGGTTGGATACACCACCCTTAATCCCATCACCACATTGATGGGATGTAAGAAAGATTCCCAAGGTGTAGCATGCAACACCAAAGGGGACCTACTACTACCAAGAAAGAAGAGCTGGGAGTAGAGTGTGTCCTTTGGGACCTGGAATTTCTGCACTGTGAAGCTCCCAGATCCAGGGATTGATGCCAAGACACAGGGAGATGCCCAAGTAATGCTGGGCCTACAGATGCTGAAAGGAGATAAGGGATGAGCTCTGGATTCAGACTTCTAGTATCCCAAACTGTGAGAGAATAAATCTAAGTTTGTTAAAACCATTCACTTGTGGTATTTTTGTTAATGCAACACTAGAAAACTAATACAGAGCTCACCTACTAAATGGGCTAGAGGGCAGAGAGACTAGTATATGAAAAGGCTGGAGTGCAATAAAGCTTGGCACGTTTAAGGAAACGATAGCCTAGCTGATGATGCTGGGGCAGTGGACTAAAGCAAATCGTGGCAGTCCTTACTGTCCTTCATTAGGGTGAGGATTTTGGTCTTTATTCTAAGAACAATGGGAAACCATTGAAGGATTATTGCTGGTGATTCTATTCTCTGCCTGCTCAGTAGAGAACCATTTGAGAGATATCAAGAGACCTCTTAATTTTACTTTTTAAAAATGAGGTCCTGAAAGCTGGTGTTTGTTTTTGTGGGGTTTTTTTTTCCTGGTACTACAGAATAAGCACTGGATTGCTAACCAAAAGGTGAGCGGTTCAAACCCACCTCAGAAACTCTATACAGGCTTTCTATGAGTCAGAACCCACTCAACAGCATGAAACAACAATGCACTCTGGCTAAGCTTACAAGATGGCATCACATAACTCATAAATCTTGAGAGCAAAGTATTAGTAGAGTAGGCCTACTGCAAGTGACCTGTTTTAACCCCTTAAAACAGGTGGGTATATATTTGAAAGTCAAGTATGATATTAGTGATCTGCATGCTATGTTGGGCTCCACAGAGGGAATAGAAAATTTGAGAATTTCTTTTCCAGTACAGGACAAAGGATAATCTTCATGTGTGTCTTGGGAAGGTTGCGGTGGAAAAATGTAGTTAGGACCACAATTCAACATCAAAACTTCACTTGAAAGAAGGAAACAGTGCAGCTTGATCTAGTATAAGTATTCTAACAGCGTGGCGCTGTGGGTTAATGTGCCAGACTGCAAAGCTGTTTGAACTGCAAGGTTGGCGGTTCAAGCTCACCAGTTGCTCCTTGGAAACCCTATTCAGAGTCGCTATGGGTCGGAACCGACTCGACGGCACTTAACGACAACAGCTTTATTGAAATACAATTTAAAATAATTTGTAAACTATTATGATAGTAAAAATAATGTAAAACCTATCCATTTTAAGTGCACAATAATTTTAATTATCAATTGTGTAATCACCACAATCCAGCTTTGGGACATTTCCTTCACACTGAAAAAGATCATTAAAGTATGCTTGTGATCCACCTCCTACCTGTTCCTGTCCTCAGGTTTCCCTAATATGTTGTGAATTCTACTGAGACAAAATGATCATACAGCCCCCAAGATAGCTCTTTCAGGGAAGTTAGAACTAGACTCTCAATTCATATGGGGCATATGTTTTATAAGTGAACCAAGTGTGTTGAGCATGTGTGTTAGTGCAGGACAAGAATTCGTTCAGTCATCCACTAAGCAAAAAACAGGTCAGCTGCCCTACAGGAGTTTATAATCTTAACGGCAAAAGCAGTAAACTATGCATGAAATGGGTGCAGGTGTTTGGAGGTGAGTAAATAGTATTCTTGAGAGAGGACCAGCTGGTATTGTGTGCGCCTGCGCAGCTTCGGGAGCACCTACAAACACACACCACCACCACCCCGAAACGGGCTACTGCAATTACCGACTCGAGAACTTTAGATTCCTCTGTTAGGGCGCCGCAGTTTCGGTTCGGAGCGTCCACCCTTGACACCACTGAATCTAGGCTTGGTAGGTAATCTCCCAGTCGCTCGCCTTCCAGACCCTTAACGCAAAACGAGGGCCGATACTATTAAGCCGCCAGCCAATGTAGACAAGGAAGTCACTTAGCCACACCCACAGTTGTGTTAACTCGCCTATCATTGGTTGGAAATTGATTAGTCCCGCCCCTTATCGTTGACGCCAGCGGCCACGTATCACGTTTCTACGTGTCTCTGGCCTAAAACAGGAAGTTACGCCCGGAAATCGCGAGAGTAGTGACGGACCTAAAACGATATAGGCCGCTTGATGAAAGAAGGAGGGAACATAGCGTTGGAAGGTGACGGGAGTGGTCGCGCTGAGTGAAGTGGGAGTGGAGCTGGTGAGATAGTTCATTTGGCTGTAGCTGAGCGCCTTGGTAAGGTTGCTCCTTCAGTCCTGTCCGAGACCCTGGCCCAGTCTCTCCACCTCGGCCAACATGGATTTCAGGGAAATTCTCCTGATGGCTTCCAAAGGACAAGGTGTCAACAACGTGCCGGTAAGTACCAGGTCGATCCTGGGCTGGTACCTCGGTCTACCCACTTTTGAGATCTGAGTGTAGGAAAATCCAATCTTCAAGTTCCAACTGTTGTCGTCACACACACCCCCAACACACACACCTACTCCCGGAATTTCCAGGCCTTCCAGTTCCGGGAGAGGAAAGACTTGGACGCCTTATCTTCTTTGCTTGAGTTTACATGTCTGATAGCTCGGGGTGAAAAGGGGATTGAGTCTGGAAACTGGAGTCTTCTGTTAGCCGGTCTATGACTTAGTTACTCTTGCAACGTGGACTTTGCGGTTGTGTTGTAAAGTTGCGTGAAAGGTGGCGGGTCGGATTGTGCCTGACACTAGAATCTAGCGCTAGGAATTTCAGACTTCGGCATATATTTCAGCCCATAGGTTAGCGGGGAAGCATGCATGAATATAGGGGAGTTTAAGGATTTTAGGAGCTTGGCCTGCTAGGCTTTTTGCTGGTTTCCCTCCGATCTTGAGGTCAGATTTTTAGTGATTTCTTGGACTAGTTCTGGGATTTACGTCCTCACCCATCAGCCAAAGAGGTGATTAAATTATCACTGCCAAAGGGGAGGGAGATAACATTTAGTATTATTAGAAAGAGAAATTGAGCAGATTCCACGAAATGTTTGGCCGACATAAGGGGTTTCAGCTTTCATTTACTTTTGGCCTTCCGTATTTCAGACTGATTGGAATCTAGATCCCGTTTTCTCAGATATTTGCCAGTTCGCTAATATCTAATGTAAATGTTAAATTGGTGGAGTGTGCGCGGCTTGGGGGGAGGGGTGGGTGTTGGTTCTTTGCATAAACTAATCATTTCTGGAGCCTCACGCGGTACCCACAGCACAGCTGGAAACGATAGATTGCATTGTGATACTTGCGGTTTGAGCAATGAGGTGTAGAACTGAAAGAGCTCTTGTTAAATCAATTCAGCTGAACATTATTAGCTCTCAGGTGCGCTGTATTTCCTGGATTTTTTGGAAATTTTTCTAACTTTTCATTCTGAATTCAGTGAAGGTTTACAAAGTCATCAGCTTTACATTTACAAATCATAAACTTTGTTTCGCTCAATGATTACAATCCCCTCCATTCAGCAACAGTTTCTTCCTGTTTTTGCCATTTCCATTCCAACGGTCTTCCCAACCCTTCTCACCTGTATCCTTAGAAAAATGTTGCCCTTTTGATTTTGAATGATTGACGTTCCATGGTGAGCCTAACTTACTATTGTTTCTGCCCCCTACTCCCTATAAGGAGTCCTGGTGTGGCGCTGTGGGTGAATGCGCTAGACTACAAAGCCGTTTGAACTGCAAGGTCGGTGGTTCAAGCTCACCAGCTGCTCCTCGGAAACCCTATACAGGGTCGCTATGGGTCGGAACCGACTCAACGGCACTCAACAACAGCAACACCCCCTCTAAGGAACCCTGGTAGCTAGTGGTAACGAATCGGTCAGCAGTTCGAAACTACCATCTGTTCCATGGGAGAAAGATGAGGCTTTCTGCTCCCGTAAAGATTTAGAGCCTCGGAAACCCTATGCAGGGTCGCTATGAGCCGCTAACAACAATCCCCTAAAAACCGTATAAAGGAACCAGGGCGAGTTCCTTTCCAGATTTGAACGGTGATCAACGGACATAGTCTCTTTCTGACCTGTAAACTGGGTCTTTATTATTACTATTAAATAATTTTGAGTTTTGATCCACATTTTTTCCCACAGTATTGGGACTCTCTATCGTGATCCTTTTCAGAACTGTTGGTAGCGGTCATTTTTTAGACTTTTATATATCGCAGTGTTATTTTTCTCACATTTTTCATCTTATGAAAATGGCCTTTTGTTTTTAACCCTTCAAGATGTTGATATGAAAACAGTAAAATAACTAATTTAAAAAATCTTATATTCGTTTAGCGCCCATTAAAGATTTACAGCCTCGGAAACCCTGTACAGGGTCTCTATGAGTCGGAACCGACTCCACGGCACATAACAACAACAACATATTAGTTTATTATGACCCCCCCAAAAAAAGAAAGAAACCCGCTGCTATCAAGTGAATTCCAACTCATAATGACCGCAGCATCATGCTAGAACTCTATGTTGTGTTGTTAATTGCTGTCAAGTTGATTCCGACTCATAGCAACCCTGTATAGGGTATCCAAGAAGCAGCTGGTGAGCTTGAACTCCCAACCTTGCGGTTCAAGCTGATCTTGCAGTCCAACGCATTGACCCACAGCGCTACACCATGGCTCCCCAGAACTCTATAGCGACCGTGTGGTGGTGGTGGTGGTGGTGGGAGTTGGTTCTGACTCATAGCGACCCTGTACAGGGTTTCCGAAGCTGTAAATCTTTACAGGAGCAAAACGCCTCATCTTTCTCCTGCAGAACTGCTGGTAGTTTTGAACTGCTGACCTTGAGGTTAGCAGCTCAAATCGTAACCACTACACTAAAACTCCTGATATGGCACCATGGATTCATGCGCTGGACTGCACAGTCATTTGAACTACAACATCATTCCTCCGAAACCCTGTATACGGTCTTGCTATGGGTCGGAACCAGCTCAACAGCACTTAACAGCATTTCTGAGGTTGTAAGTCTTTACCCAAGCCAACTACCTGCCTCATCTTTCTCACATGGAACAACTGGTGCATTCAAACCATTGACTTACTAAAAGTCAGCGAGCCAACCCCGTACCCCGCTGCAATACCAGGCCTTTTCTTTTAGTTTGCTATGTTAGATGCCATCTAGTGTGTTCCCACTCATAACGATCTTATGCACAACAAAACAAAACACTGCCCAGCCCTGTACCATCCTCAATAGTACTGCTGTCCATATGTCAGTCCATCTCACTGGGGGGTCTTCCTCTTTTTGCTGACCCAAGTTTATGTTTTTGTTAAGGGTCTTCCAGTCGTTTGCAACTCATAGTGACTCTATAGGGTTTCCGAGGAGCAGCTGATGAGTTTTAAACACCAACCTTACAGTCCAGTGCTTACCTGATACAGGACTCCAGTTCATAGTCAGCCCTAACCCCAAGTACTATGAGTAACCATTCCCCTAAGCCGTGAGTCATAAACTCTGCAGGTTGAAACTATGGGGTCAGATCTTGGAAACCTGGGACAACTAAATGTGTTTCTGCATCTGTAAATCTCCTATATAAGTCAGTGTTGGGTCTGGTAACCACTCACTTATCTTGGCATAATTAGATCCTAGATCTTCCTGAATTTCATTGGAGATCAAAGATAGATGCCCAGGAATCTTCTGGGGAAAAGTTACAATCAAGTTAGTAGTTTCTTGCACTAAAAACCAAGAGAGAAAAGCAAGCAGATATTCTTAGAACAGTTAAAAACCCACTGCTATCAAGTTGATTCAACTCATAATAACCCTGTATAGGGTTTCCGATGTTGTAAATATTTACCAAAACAAAAAGCCTCATCATTCTCCCTTATATCGCTGGTGGGTTTGAACCACCAACCTTGCGTTTAGTTGTTCTTGTTGTTAGGTGCCATCGAGTCAGTACCGACTCATAGTGACATTATGCACAGCAGAGTGAAACACTGCCCAATCCTGGACCAACCTCACACTATTATTGCCATGCTTGAGTCCATTGATGCTGCCACTTGGCCAATCCATCTCACTGGATGTCTTCCTCTTTTTCTCTGACCCTCTACCTTACCAAACATGATATCCTTCTCCAGCGACTATGGTTAGTAGTACAGCGCTTATCCTACAGTGCCACCAGGGCTCCTGGGCAACACTTGTTACGTGCCTTTGAGCCAGTTCTAACTCATAGCAACCTTATGTAGAGTTTCCAAGGAGCACCAGCTGGTGGGTTTGAACCACCGACCTTGTGTTTGCAGTTCAATGCTTATCCTACAGTGCCACACCAGGACTCAATCATACAAGCATTAATTAATTTGTATGTATTGAGGCTCCAGTTATGCATATACATTGAGGTGATATGTTAGATACCATCAAGTTGGTTCCAGTTCATAGATAGCAACCCTATGCATGACAGAACAGAATACTGTCCAGTTCTGCACCATTCTCATAATTGTTACATTTGAACCCATTTTTGCTGCCACTGTGTCTTGTGGGGTCTTTCTCTTTTTTACTGACCCTCTACTTTATCAAGCATGATGTCCTTCTCTAAGGACTGGTCCTTCTTGACAATGTGTTCAAAGCCTGAGAGTCAAAAGTTTTGCCATTCTCATTTCTAAGGTGGCTTATGAAAAACTGACTCAGGACTTTTTAGCTTTCTTTTGAGGAGCTTCCTGCGATGTACCCACCTGGTGGGAACTCTCCCAGACCTTGCCTGATATGCAGCTCTTCACTTGTATCCTTTCTGGTTACAATAAATGCATAACTGTAAGTATAGGCAATAGTCTCAATGAATTTGGTGAACTATTTTAGAGAATCATAAAACCCACAAGGGACTTTGAGACTCTGATATAGTTTGGGTGACTAGTTCAGAGGAGAGCTATGCAGGCAGTGTTAAGGACAGAGGAACCAGCTTTGGTTGGCTGGGTGACAGCAAGGTTGTATGGGCAGTCAATGAAAAAGGAAGATCCTAGTTTGCAACCTAGCCCCAGGGGTTATCTTCCAGATGGCAGTTGGATTCCTGCTGATTCTCATGCAGTTAGTAATGAAGGTGAGGTTTGCCCACCTTGCCCCTTTAATATTGCAGTAAGTTGTGCAGGTTCATTTCCCCTTTTAGCTCCATTCTTCCCTCACTGTCTTATGTTTTAATTAAAACTAAGGTAGGATTGCATCATACTAGAACTATTAGGCACACTGTCATTTCCCAGTGGAAAACTAACTACAAAATAACAGCTGATCAGGGTGATGTAACCAGTAATTGTCATTAAGTTCTGTTTATATTTAAAGGAGAAAATATATTTTTGTAACTTTGTACTTAAGATTTTTCTCTAGCAAAGACAAATGGTGGCTGTGCTGTTTTTGATACAGTAGTTGTTAAGTGTCAACAAGTCAGATATAATAGT